TGATGAACAAGAACTCCCCAGAACCCCCATTTGTCCATTTTATTAGGGGAGACTCAATTTGGAAGAAGGACATGATGAGTTGAGAGTCAGAAGATCAAGAATGAAGAACTTGAGGGTGTAGATGGCAGGGAAGTTGGTGCGGTCATTTGCCCGTTGTGGCCAGGAGTTGAACAATGAAGACGGAAAGGGTCAAGTTAGGGGCTCAGGCCCTGAATCTGCTTCACTGACATCCAATGATTTTGCCTCGTTTCTTGTCTTCCCTCCTTTGAAGATCATATCGGTGTGTTTGAACGAAGGTTGAACAATTCTTTACACTTTGAGCAGAAAAAGTTGAGGGAATGCTACAACCGTCTCACTGCTACTTAATTCCTCGGTTTGCACACATATACTGTATAGTATGCGAAGATTCACGCTTCGATTTTGTGCGCTTGGCATTCCACTTGAGTCATGACAGCAATCATCAGCTAAGTTCACAGCCAATGTCCTGCTGACCTTCCTGAACAAGGGGTCGACACAACGGAAGTTCATGAGGGTCCGGTGCCCAGCAGAATTTCGTCTCCCTTTGCGCTTTGTGAGTTCCGGGAACGCAGATCTAAATTGCATTAAAGTGGACTCTAGCTCTACCCCTAAGTTTGATCCAGGAGCATCAGCCTAGGAGCTTGCATATCAAGCGGCGCCGATCGACTTGCCCTTCTTTCTAGGATCTTACATGTTCAGGAGATAGGAGATCTAGTTTTCTTTCTTACCTCTTCCTGAAACATCTTGAAATCAGGTCCTGTCAGAGATCAAGTTTCCAAACGAAAACATCGCACCGTTGTAGGTGGGGATCGAGATGTCGGAACTCACCGAATTGGTGCTGGACAGTTTGGAGGCCTGTTGGAACTCTTCACTGATCCCCTGAGATGAGTAGAGAATCTGTTTTCAAGAGACTTACCAAAGCCATTCATCTTAACAGAGGTTGAACCCTATAGACTATTGCATATGTACCCCGGTGGGGTCCTATTTAAGGTCACTTAACCTTTGTTGGTCACTTGAGGGTGTGCCTTGCCCCAAAACTAGTTGTGCCTGCTTGGCCCTCCCTTCGCGCTGCAGATACCACGTGGTACGCGAAATGCCGATCGTCTCCGTGAAGGTTTAGACACTATGCGGGGAACCTGGAAGGTTGATTGATTCCGGAGAGCTCAGCTTTTCAAGCATATGAGTGGGTTCTTACTTCTCAATGAGTGGGCGACGGAATCCGGACATTTTCAACAGCTGCCGCTGCCGTCGTGCTTGCCAAACTCTTTTTGTCTCCTGCTGCGCTATGAAGTCTGTGCTACGAAGAAGGAGGAGAAGAGAAGCAGAAGAAGCAGCAGCAGAAGCAGGAGCAGAATCAGAAGCAGAAGGAGGAGAACAAGGAATGGCCTTGTCTCCGGCTGGTCTTCCTCTGTGATCTGCGATTGCCTGCTGTCCTGTCTCCCAAGCTTGTCTCCGTGCTTGTCTCTTAACATGCCGTTTTTGGTTTAGTTGTTTCTTCTTGTAGTTATTAAGTTTCGCAGGACTTCCTTGACCTATTCGCCATTTTCAGGTTCAGTTCAGAGTCCAGCACTGCCCAACGAGAGGAGGCGGCCTGATGGAACCGGTTCATGCGTGCGCTTGCGTGGCCTCAAGAAGCAATGGGTGTAGCAGTGTAGTATTCTGAAGTTATGGTAGAACTATTCACAGAGTGGTTTGGAGGGTTCCCGTACTCCGAGATGCACAAGTAAACACACACAATGCAGCAGCAGCAGCGGATTGATTGAAGCTGTTAAGACTCGGATGCGAAGTGGTGCGAAGGTGTTTTTGGTAAGCATTTTGCTTTTAATACACAGCTTTTCTTGTGAAGGGAGGCTGGCTTGAATAGTCTGCTTCTTCTTTTCCAAAAAATCTAGGAACCAAAAATCTACCCTTATACACTTAATTAAGTAGCAGGAGCAGCCTTAAAAAATAGAAACAAACAAATGAACAAAAAGAGAAGACGCGTGTAGAGTTCTTGCCTACAGGATTTGTGGGTCCTTAGATCTTATGCAAGGGTGTCTTTAGTCTTTGGTACAACAGGTTCTGTGCTTCTAGATGCCTGTCTTCATTCATGGGATCCATTAGATCAGCTTTTGCAACACAAGACAAGCCCTTCGAAGCGTGCTGGTGCTGGTGCAGCCAGGTCGATTTTTCTATGTTACTTACGCTCCAAAAAGTGTGCGCTGTCTTCACTCATGCCTCTCTTCCTTGAATACTTTGCTTTGCTTATACTCTTACACCTACCTACTACCTACTATAGGAGTTTCCTGCTTCCTTCTTTGTGTGGAGACAGACCGTGATTCAAATCCTAGCGTCAATGGAGCAGACGAGGCCTTGGTGTTGTTTGAAACCGTTGCAAGGCCGTGAGAGATTTCCGGGGCACCATCACGGCTATGAGACAGGAACACACGCTGTTCAGTGCCACGGTTGCAAGAGGCAAGTTGCTTTTCCAATGACCACCATCCAGTGCTACTGCTAGTAGGGTTTGTCTACGCTTTAAAAAATCTGAGGTTCTTCTGATTTCATGGAGCGCGTCCTCCGTGGCAGCCTCAGCACCGATTCGACCGAACAACTCTGGCCCACAGCGGGCTCTTCACGCTCGGGAGCCCGAGTGTGAGGCCTCCGGAAGCCAACGCCAATCCCACGGTGGAAGATCCTTTTCAAGCAGATCTTCGAACAGGATGGCGTCGAGCTTTGCGGTGTTTGGGGAAAATTGAGGGTCTTTCGTGCTACCGTTTTGAAGGGATGGCCCTCAGTAGAAAGCCGATGGACATGACCTGGGCTTACGTCTTTCACACCTTCTCACTTCTCCAGTTGCTTGGAGGTCGCTCGTGCACACTCCTTTTGTGACTGGGTAAAAAGGCATCGCAAACACCGCGCCAGGCAGACCTGGATCGATGTGGAACTTTGACCAAAGAGGACGAACAGAGCAGTCTTTGTTGAGGTGCTGGGCCCTCTAAAAATGGTGGCGCATGTTGACTCCCACCTCAAGTCATCACCTGCTAGTCTCACCAGTCTCAGTTCATCCTGGCTGTTCGTTACACACGTCGCCAGACCGGGCTCTTTTTGGGGACGACCGGGGTGCCCTGGCGGATCTGAGCGTTCGACGGACGACCCAGACCGTCGCTGGAACAGAAGACGATTCAGAAACTAGTTCCGATTCAGAAACTCACCCGATTCAGAAACTAGCCGACTCAGACCCGGTCTAGTCTCCGAATCCGCGCTCCTTCTAGTTTCCGAATCCGCCGTTGACCCAGTCCGCCGCGTCTCGCGTCGTCCTTTTGGGCGACACGGTGAACAGATGGATCTGACAAAGGGCGAGCCGATGTCGCCTGCCCCTCGTTGCCCCCCCAGGAGTTCACGGCTGCTCTGGAGTCACCTCAAACGCAGGCAGGGCTGCTGCGTTGGATGAACGATCCTGTGTTTTGACGTGGCCAGGCAATGAAGAGGCCTAATACTTTCGGTTTCTTTTCGTCCCACGTTCGACAAATCAGAGAGAGAATTGCACACCCAGCACCCATGCAGGAGACAGACACAAAATGGACTCATCAACATACGACTCATAGATACCTCTAATGTAGCATGTTGATGCATGTTGTTTTTCTTTCTCTTCTGTGTGACGTTGCATGCGGAGGCCAGATTGGAGTCATTGGGCCTAGATCTGGATCTGGTCGAATCCTCAGATGTGCGTCTGCCGGCCATACTTTCAGCCTGCACAAAGGCGCGAGAATTCTTGTTCAACTCGCCCCGTTCGAACATTTGACAGACATTGCTGTAACCGTGAGGTCTAAACTGGGGCCTGTTTCAATTTTCTGTAAAACAGCAGATCAGACCAACTTTGACTGAAACGTGTGCGTGCTCAAGCTTTGTACGACTGGTGTATGCTGATTGATTCGACGTGACCAGCGACCGGTCGCAAAAGGTGGAGGAAATGTTCGAAGTCATCGATGTGGACGGTAGTGATGACGTGACCGAGGTGCGATTTGCATGACTCGTCGTCCGGACTCGCCAACACGGGCTCTTCAGCCCGGACTCGTCGTGTACACGCGAGAAACGGGGGCCCTTTGAAACGCCCTCGGTTTGAACGCACATCACAAGGCCTCAACTCGTTTTGCCATTGGAACCATTGGAACCTCATCCAGCGGGCCATGTGTTGAACAAACGCCGAAGACTTGAAGACTCCGGTGGTCTCGGAAACTCGGGCCCTTGGGGGCCCTTGACCATGGATCTGGAGGGTTTCGGAGAGCCCGGGATTCCTTCCGCATGACCAAATGGTCTGGTCACTTTTCCAGGTGTGGGCCAAGGGTTCAATGAACCAGCGTTTGGGCTCCCCTTCATTGGGGAGAAAGGCCCATAGCCCATGGTGGCTCGCAATTCAAAGCTTCTTCATGTGAGGTGTGACAAAACTTGGCTTTTGGCTTTTGGCTTCTCTGGTTTTTGTGGCTTTTGGCTTTGGTGTCGTTTCGCTTTTGGCTTTTGGCTTCTTTGGCTTTTGGTGGGTTTTGGCTTTGGATGGCTTCTGGCTTTTGGTGGTTTTTGGCTTTTGTAGCGTCTGTGGCTTTGCCGACTTTGGACTTTTGGTGGCTTTCGACTTAATTAGATATCAGAGGAATAAAGACTGTTTGAAAGATACGTCCTCCAGAGCTTCTGTGGCTTTTGGCTTCGATGGCCATATCCGTCACACCTCCGCCCTGTGAGCCATTCGCGATGTAGCTTTGGAAGACTTTGGCTATTTATACCGCCTGTTAGTATGAATATGTATACACACGAAACTGCAAACATGGATGCTAAGGGCCACCAGGCTGTTACCATTTGATCTCTTCCACCTCACCCAGCTTTCAATACGGCTTTGTTCCGAGACATTCATGTTGCAAAGCCCTGCGACAGTGGTATCTATCTACCTGAATCTGCCTACCTATCTTTCTATCTATCTCGGGCTGGAAAGAGGAGATATAGAGGCAGAGGAAAATATAGGAAAAAGTGCAGCTAGAAGAAAAGATAGGAAAACCATGTGGAAACAAAGAACGCAATTTAAAAACAATAGGATAAGAACCGAAAGGAACAAAAGACACATCACAAAAAATCACAAACTAAATCCGGGCCCTTTCCTCGCAAGGGGTGATGGGTCTTGTGGGGATGCCCTGGGTGATGCAGGCAGAATTGCTCTTGGGCGTAGAACTCTTGCTTGAGCTTCAGAAGGAGTGCAGGCCCTCAGAATGCCACAGACCGGGACATCTACCTCGGCAAAAGGATGCTGATCTGTGATCCTGAAAGGCGTTGCACAGAAGTCCCCAGCTTTGCGCCGTGTGGTTTTTGGTTCTGATCAATCTTGGACTTCGACCGCCAACATGTTCTGCCCCGAACAAAGGTCGGACGATATCGTCGACGTCGACGACTTGCGCGAACGCTTGCAGCAGCATGGGCATCGACAGCTTCAGGCGGACATTGTAAGAAAATCACCAATTGACCATTGTGGTCTTCTTGGTCACGGATGAGAATTGGGATGGATGGGGGACTCACATGCTTGACTGATTCTTCCTTTCTGCTGTGAGGGTTTGGAATTGGGGGTTTCACACGCCCCAGTCACATTCAGGGTCTCAACCAAATTGGAGGTCTTGCAGACGCACACGGAGGAGGAGCCCGCGGCCTTTGTGACCAAGATCCGCGCGGAGGAAAAAATGCCTTCTTCGCCACCAGCAGAGAAGGAGACGGAGGCCTTGCGAAGACACCCACACCTCCAAGCGAAGGCCGGGTCCAGAGCCGGGAAGCGGTCGTTCTGTTCTGCACTGTTCTTGTTGGTTCCGTCATGTGAAGGCGAGATCATCACTGCGTTTCTGGATCTCAACCATACAATTCGCATATAACCATGATGTTGGAAGTTTGCACTCAGGATGATTCCAACACTTCTTGTCATTTGCTGCAGAATCCACTGCATATCTTTCCCATTTCTCAGGGTTCAGATTTCTCTTTTGGAAGCTTCTTGACCCCGCGTCCGGGGTCGTGACCGCTTGACACAGCGACTTCCCCTCCCGCTGCTCGGAAGGACTCATCCTGAGCAACGAAGAAGACGAAAAGCTCAAAGAGCGGTCGCATGGGAGTTATGGGGAGGTACTGGGAGTGGATATAGAATGATATATAATTACTGTATATAGTTATGTATATATACAACTTAGTGGTGGATCTTGCAGCTTCAACTGAACTTGGACAAGAGAAATAGAGCGGGCATTTGTTCGAACTTCATGCTTAAGGCACGGAAGTTTCACCTTGCTCCCCAAAGGGGTGCGCCAATTGCCCACAACAGGTATCCAACAGGAGGAGTTATATTCAATACAAAGCGGACACGATGTGATCCTGTAGAGGGGTTGGCGCAGGAAACTAGCAGGGTCAGATGGATTTTGGCTGTTGAAAGTCAACTTCTTTCTGCTTTTCCATTGATGATCCCATGGGAATACTCCGTGGAAAGTAGCGACTCTGCTATTGGCGTCTTCTAGAAAAGAGCATTCGTTGCGGGAGCTGAAGCGATTTGACAAAGATGGGATTGTGGGATGAACAGATGTCATCCTCCCCAAAACCTGCAGAGCTTGGGGAAGAGCTTGGCCAGATTCTCACTGCAGCTTTGGCTTAGACACCAAATGGTTCGCGGACCACGCATCAAACCTTTGACCTGTGGCAGAGGCAAGATACTTTGCTCTGGATCATTCTGCGCATTCTTGTGACAGAAGTTGAAATGTCTCAAGTACAGTATCAAACAGCATTCTGCATGAATTCAGTCTTGAAACATTTACATATACCATATATATATATTAACTATTATAGCGCAACATTAAGAATTCGATATGCGCCATTGATTGTGCTGACGGCGTGCAAGAAGCCTGGGCTAGGCTCAGACTGGGAACCTGACAATCAGGTCTGCAATCACTCACAGTTGGAAGAATTGAAGCACAGTCGCACAGTGGCTCCCAACTAGATGGACGCGATATCCAGTGCATGTCCAAATGGGATTCACCGGATTCACCTGATTCTGGTGCACGGCATCATCCACCAGAAAAGGCGACCATGACTTGAGGCGACCATGACCTGTATTTCACCAGTGAAATACCAAGGCGACCTCCCAAGGATCAACTGGGTTCACAGAGAAGATGCCGCTCTTGGATGCTTCACAAGAGATATTTTGGTCAGGTTCAGGACGTCTTTGGACAGTGTCTGGCTTTGGGAAGGACGCTGCCTGGCCAGGTTCACCTGTTTGCAGGACATGGCTCTGGAGACTGCCAGGCTGGGAGAGCTCGTCCCGTGGGATGAGCAGAGGAGGGGCTTTTTGATCAACCTTCTTGTAGGATTCAGGTAGCCATTCAGAGGAACTCAAGAGGGCATCCCTGTAGAGTTTGCCGAGACCTTCTGTGGCCTGAATAGCATCCGTGGCCCTTCTGTGATTAGGTCTCAAAATCGTGCGGTAAATCAATGTTTCCATATGGGGGTGACTTTGCTGTATCTTTCTCAGAGAGCCTTTGTTCAAGAAGCATTGTTCCTCAACATGTTGTGTGTGTGTGCCCCTTGTAGTCACAGGGATCCCTTCGGATTGTTTTTTCTTTTTCTGCAGGGCAACTGGGCACTCTGTGACTGACCCAGTTCAACGAAGCTAGGTCACAGAGTGGGATATTCGGACTGATCATCCGAACGTACCTGCGATTTTTCCGATTCTTGTGAATGGCACGAGGCTAAGCCCAGAACCTCAATACATGGTGTTGCATAGGGCTTTGGTTTTGATTTGCAGATGTGAGCGGACGACGTCATTCTGTCGGTCGATCGTTCGGTGGTTCCTTTAGACTTTATGGCCTCGCTGAACTTGTTAGACCTCCTCTTCCTTTTCAGGCTTCCTTACCTGTACTCTTAGGAAGTGGAGCCCTAGGCCGGCGTGTGGCACCGCTTTCAGTTCAGTACACCCTATCCTAAGTGTGTGTGTGTGTTGTTGAGGATGCACAGCCTCACTTTGATGAGAATTGCGCTGTCTAAGGACGTCAGCACGAAACAGGTATTTGCACCAAAGTCAAAGTCCCCATGCATCTGTCTCTTAGCAAATCTCTCAAACATGTACAATAACAAAGAAGCTACTAGGAGCAATAGGCATCGCTATGAACGGAGCGATCGGACGCTACGAACGGGGCTCCTGGCCGTACTACTAGGAGCGGTCGGACGCTACTAGGAACAAGGTTCGCTAGGAGCGATCAGACGCTACGAACGTAACAAGGTTCGCTACTAATGACATGGGAAACGCAACAGGCTTGGCGTCTCAAAGAGTCCAACAGCTCGGTGTCGAGCTACTGTGGATCTCTGATCGTCAGGCGCAGCCTGGATACTGGTGCCCCGGAGGCTGCGCTGAGCGAAGCAAAGCAGGCCAATTCGGGGCTGCGAAGGGCGGAGGTTCGGCTTGGTGGGGCTATGAAATGCCATCAAAGTCAGATCCCATTTGAAGAAGTGCTTCCGTTGCCAACTTGCTGGAAGCCACAACAAGTTGATTGTGGTACAGGACAGTTTGCAGCGGTCGAAGACCAAGAATTGCTCCTGCTACGTGCCATTCTGCGTACCTGTGCAGGTGGCGGATGCCGCACTTGCCAGCAACGACCTGCGATTAGCTGCAGAGGCTATCAGCCCGAAGCTTGGCGGGCCCGGACATGGGCGTTCAGCTCATGTTTAGCATGAATTGGAAGCGGATTCCAAGTTCAAAGTTACCATCGATTCGAGCATGGTGATAGATGTGGTGTTTCTTTTTCCATATCCATGGGCCTCAACAAAATCCACAGCAAATCTGTATGAACGAATGCCCACCGAAAACCAATTTACATAAATATTATACCATCCAAGTACATCCAAATGCTTAAAAACCGTCTTTGTCCTTTCCGCAACCCCAAAAAACCACCCGACACACCTCCTGACACCAGCACTTTGCACCATCCAACACTGGTGGCCGAGCCTTGCAATGATTTCGTTTTGACGCGACCGGGGGAGGACGACCCGGCTGAGGTCTTCAATCCTTGGCGCTACTGAAGACGCAGCGCCTTGTGGAAGCCCGACAGCTGCTGCAGCAACAGCTGAGCGTGACCCGCACGGCAGGCGGAATCGAGGGAGATCGAGGGGCAGCTCTGCGTGGGATCATTTTTGGAAGGTTCCAGTGTAGAGTTTTGACTCACCACTAGAGAAATGGGGAGGATCTTGGTTTCTTTCACCTGATATACTCACTAGTCAACATATTGATTGGTGAATTGCTGATAATGCATTGTAGGAGGGGAGTGAACTGATTTGGGATATGCTTCAAAGACGGCGAAACAAGAAGGAAATGGTAACCAACCAGGCGGGAATGCTTCCTTCTCAAACTAGAGGGACAGCACTTGGATCTCGAATCATCGAAGGAAGGATGTTTTCTGTGGGCTTCATGCATACAAATGAATGACATGGAGGAGAATTGATAGCATGACAAAGACTTACAGATAGCAAGTCACTCATGCCGTGCAGGACCAACAGCAGGTTTGAGGCATCAATGTGTTGTTTGGCTTGTTTCAAGCTATTCAAGCTCTTCTTCTCTTTCTGTCATCCACTGGACCCGCTGACACAGGTCATCAAGCGGCTGAGCTCATTTTGCTCGCCGCCTCTTCCTCGGCGGCTCTCGCGCAGAATGACCTCCCAACGGCCAAGATGACGGCTGAGGAGGGTGCCTGGCCTGCATCGGAGCCGTGTAATGTTTTTTGCATCCATCCAGATCGGTCACCTGGTGCGGGTGATCGTCCCTAAGGTGTAGCACTGGTCAAAAGACTTGGCTCCTCTTTCGAGAAGAGCAACAGGCGCGGCCTTTTCTCGCTTGAGCAGTCGGGGAAATGCCTCACAGACGCCGCTTTTCCATGTACCCGACACCAATCTTCGGTTTTCCAGCGGCTTCATGAGCTGTCCCGAGTGTCACGGTTGTCGAGGAAGCTGCTGCTGCAGCTGCTCATTGCCAAGGGCAATGCGCAGCTCATGGACCAGAACTTGCCGGAAGCCGCCAAGGCCGCGGTCGAGGCGCCCATCGAATGAGGGAGTGTTTTGGTATTGCGCGGGGAGGTAAGGTCAAGAATCTACGACCGGAGCTGCGAAGCTGAGACCCCACACCCTACGGCGCCACGCAGCGCCATTCGGATTCGCATCGGGCCTCGCCAAGCTCTGCTTTTTGGGTCCACACGTGTGTGCAGATGGAGAACTACATAAGCATGAGTCTTCAGTCTGAGTCCATGTCTATCATAGTTGAACAAGGTGGCAGGGCTCCTCGCTGAAGTGGGCTCCCGAGTCCACCCATCGGTCAGCATATTTATCCTTTCAGTCCATGTGCCCTCATTGTCCCATGCTGGTTGGTAGTGGTAATCATAACTTTTTTATCTCCGCTTACATTGTTCGATTTTGTTGGTCTCCGTTGGTCGCTTGCTCAAGAAAACCACCTCGAACTTCCACGTTCTTCAGGCGCTGACTGTTGGGCGAGCTAGTCACGATGAAGAGGGTCAGTGTGAAGCGCTTCACTTGATTTGCCTGCTTCACTTGGTCTTCGGAAGGACACGGACCCTAATTTTTTGAGGGACTTTTAGTTAGTTAGGATCATCTCACACCCACAGAAAACGGTGTATCAAAATAAGGTAGAACAGGAACAGTTGAAACTGGTAGCTCCCCTCTTGGAACTATGCCCGAAGCGCAGGATAGACGTCAATGATCGTCGGTGTATCATTTCGAAGACATTGACTGACAAGAGCTTCCTAATTGAGGCTCCCAATGCTCAAGAGATACTTCACGACACAGGTACAGGTTGCTCACCTACTTCTCCCACAGAAGAGTTTTGAGTGTTTCACTACCCCATTTCGTTTTGGAGACAGCTGATGCGTTTGTGCATTCCAGGAGTGCCGCCCAAAAAGCTGTAGCGCAAGTCTTCCATGAAGGAACTCCGCCCTTGTCATCGCTGGAGTCCTCCAATCAAGCAGCTGCCCTGCTCCGAAAGCTTGGAGACAAGGTGCGTCGAAGCAAACAGCTTGAGGGTCACGAGCGAAAGTCTTTGGCAAAAAAGAATTCTACAGCATTCGGCTTACCAAGACACAGTCCGACCAAGGCGACCCACCGGTCGTCCGGTCGTCCGGACGTCCGGACCGCGCTCCCAGGAGGGCGAGGCCATCGCCCTGCTGAGCATCGCCGAGTGCCGCCTGGAGGCGCCGAATCGCCCAGAGGCGCTGGGCGCCGCCCAGCGCGCGCGGCAGCTGTTCCGAGAGGAGCGGCACCGGCGAGGGCGGCTGCAGGCGTTGGAACTCATGGCGAGGGCCTGGCAGGAGACCTTGCCAGCCTTGGAGGAGAGGGAATCTAGATGAATGTTCTATAATGTTCCTTCTTTTCATGAAGTTGGCTGAGGTGACTTTTGTCATTCCTTTGTGTGTAGAGCCCATCCTTAAATCCTCCACCGTCCCACGTGCGAAAGTCACAACTCGTCAGCGAGGCCACAGAGGAGGAGCTGGTTCTGTTCAAGGAAGAAGGTGATGAGGCAGGGCAGGTGGACGCACTGCGGACCTTGGCAGATTTCTATACCTCAGCAAGGACGAAATCTGGGCAGATGGATGTCGATGAGTCTTTTTTTCAGAGAGCGCATACTTGCAACGAGATGGTGTGATCTTCTTAGCCTTATCTGCGGTTCCGCAGTTAGAAACTACCGACAGATTTTTACAAATTAAATCCAGGAACTGCGTTTTGGGCATTGTTCTCATTACGTTTTCTTTGAATTTGGGTTTGTGATCCAAGACTTCCTTGTCGCGAGGATGTATGGTGAGGCTCGAAGTGCCATTCGCAAAGCTTTGGAGCTGCTGGCAGATAAGGATGCTGTGGAGAAGGAAGTGAAGAGCTTCATGTTGCTCTCTCACATCGAAGAGATCACTGGACGAACAGACGAGGCAGTGAAGATGGCGGAGAGAGCTTTGAGCCTCAGCAAACGATCGGCTGATGCACTCTCCCTCTCCCAAGCTCGACGATTGGTGAGCCGCCTCTATGTGCAAACTGGCAAGAGCCAAGATGCTCCAAATCGCCGGGAAGCACTCGAAAGCCTAAGAGACCTAACTGAGGCAGTGCGCAAGCGCGATGACAAGTTGTTTCAAGCAACCATGAGCACTTTGGAAGAGCTCTCTGGCTACACTGAGGCTGATGTGAAATCTGCATTGGTCGTGGAAGACGATCCAGACCAAGCAAGTCTCATGCGCTTCCTCAAGCAGCAAGGGCAGATGAAATCCGCTGCACGTGGCAGCTCCACTGTGATGGCGGCTTTGAGTCATGCCCTTCTCTATCTTTCCTTCCGTCTAGGCGACCTGGACCGTGCGGTCGGAGCAAGACATAAAGTCAGGTGAGAGACCCACAGACACCTTTGGTAGAAGGGAACGTAGACACAGAAAAGACATTGGTAACGTAGGTGCCCAGGTCTTATACGAGACGCTTGCAATGGCGTGAGAAGTCTTCTTTTCTTTGCAGGGATGTGGGGTTTTGTCTTGAGACCTCGGGATCTTGTTGAATTGAAACATGGCCAGATGAAGACCCTGTGGTGTTCGGTGAGTTTTGATGTCCAATGTATCTTGTTTTTTGGTAGGTGGCCTTGGATATGGACCCAGATTTCGCCGGTGCTATGCCTACGGCGTGAAGGGTCAAGATGAAGATGACATGACAGCAGTGGCATACCTGCGACACCTCTCTTCGCAGGAAGAATGGTCCAAGAACATGGAGATCCAACCTCCGATGCTGGATTCGATGCAACACTCCTTGAATGCCATCTCGATGACCTGAGAGCCAGCGTAGCACCGCTAGAGCCAGCGTAGCGCCGCTGCCAGCGTTTTGCGCGTCGCCCTCGTGCCAGCTGCGGCCCATCTTCGGAGAAAAGCAGACTCTGGCGACGCATCCTCTTTCGCCCTCCCAAGGATGGCGTTTCTTGACCGGTACCGATCAGTTTGGTTGCGTTTTGCCTGCTGTCGGTTCTTCAAGGATGGCTCTGATGTTTGGGCTCAAGCTGCTTCATGAACACACCTGTATGGAAGCCAAGTCCACCCCCTATCCGACCCCTGAAACTCCGCGGGATTTGTCATATCTTACAGCCATGGCCCTTGCTTTCGCAGTGCAGCCTACCTCTGCGTAGAGCTCGGAAAGTTCACACACCGGAATTGGCAGTGGACAGAAACCTTGGATGTTGTCGTTCCATGTCGTTTCTTGGGATGATCTATGTCTGACCTTCACTCCAACCAGAATGCAGTCTTCGAAAACCCACCCAGGTCTCTGTCACCAAACCTCATCTTCCAGGGTCCACTCTCCCGTGACTTGGTGAACATGCTGCTTAGCGGCTTGTTCGTGAAAATCCTCTGCTTCTCCGTCTCCGCAGGCCACACGAAGACAGGAACTTCGAGAAGGCTCCGAAGGCCACCGGGGGTTCGGACTTCGTGACGAGTCACGTTGGGTCAGGACGGTCTGGTCCAAGAACTACGATGGACGGTGAAGATACGACCGGGCATGCAGGTGACTCACCAAGACAAGTTGGAGATCAGAACTTGTGAGCTCACTGTTTTTCGTTAAACACGTGGAGTGTCGAAATAGACAGGGCAAAGCTCCGAGAAGGCCCTCCGCCCTCTTGGCCTTTTGTCTTTCAAACACCTCAAACACCTACGATCCCAGACAGCCACAGAAAACCACAGACCACCGTCTCGAGCCATGCAAACTTCTTGGCCTTCGGTAGCCGCAGAACAACATCTTCTCAAACAGGTCAACACGCATGGGCAAGGCCCCGTTCCGAACACCCAGCCTGGCTGGCCAAGGTGATGCCAGTCGTGGCTGGCGCTTTCCTGGGCCTAAAAGGGCTGGGGACCTTGGTGATACCTCGTGCAACAGCTGCAGCGCAGGGTGTTTCCAAACTCACTGACATGTGGAGTGCCAGACCAAAACGGACTCGAAACAAATCAGTCTCACATGTGATACCCCAGCTTCCACATATCGTCACCTACCTCGTCCTTGATATGGGAAGAAGCATATCGAACGACGAACGATGTTGTTTCGGATTGGTCGAACGACGAACGTGTTGTTTGGCGACCGACACGGCGAGCGTCCGGAGCGTCTGCCGTGTCGACCGAGGTTGCGAGCCACACGACGCTCGAGGTCGGGCGACCTCAGGGACATTCGACGTGACCCCCGGAAATGATGCGACGAGACTCAACGTTTTTTGCCATTTTGGGAGTTACTTCCGAATTCGAGGATCTAAATTTATGAAGAGTTGAAACAGATTCTGACGTTTGGTCCTTCCACATTCTGGCGGAGAATACATGATCAAGCTGATCGCCTTGATGTGGAATGTCAGTCTTGCTAACTCCGGCGTTGTTTATTCCTCTTGGTCTTCTGAAGGCGGACTCAAGAGAGAAGCTCAATGAAAAGAATGCATAGCCTAAGAATTCGAAAAGTACAACCTTCTGGAACCGTCCTCCCAGTGTTTTTCGGATTTTCTTTCTTTCTTTTCTTTTACAGTACGATCGACAAAACACACCAGCAAGATCGAGTGGATGATGGCGGATTGGATCGACACATCAGCGGTTTTCGCGAGATCCGCCCCGTTGGAAGACCGGATTGTCAGGGTGCCACGCGCTGGCGCTCCACCCCAACCGATCTGGCAGACCAACCGTCTCACAGTCCGGCTGCCTGGATGTTGTTACTACATAGTAGCTTCTAGCTACTACGTAGTAGTAATGCCCTTGTTACTAGTAGCGATGCCCTTGTTACTAGTAACTTTGGAACCTGCCTGGATGCCTGAAAAGGGCCGTGACCATGCGAACATGCCAGGCCGTGACGGGTGTTTTGAGGGACTTTGTTCAAGAGAGGCTTTTTGACCTTGGCAGTGGCCATCATCCAATTTAAGGTTGAGCAGCTGGAGCGGCAGTGGCTTCTGTCCTATGAGCCGCAGGAAATTCCTGAATCCAAGGAGGACTTCTCTCAGGCGGATGCCAGGTAGCTGCGGGCCGAAACCCAATCAGAATGTGGGTGGGCGAACCAGTGTGGCATTGTCGATGTCTATTTTTGATCATTTTGTATTTGTTAAATTTTTCCCAAGCCAAGTTTTGAAACACACAGTTTTAACAGACCCCAGCAATTCGAGCATTCAGTTGCGATGGTTTCTCTTGTAGGTATTTGCAAAGACACATCACCAGGCCTTCTCGCATTCTGCGGTCAATCCTGCGTGTAAATCTCACCAAGCCTTTAGCGGGCCCCTTCCAGAAAAGCTTGAGTCTGAACTCTTTGGCTCATGAATTGGTCCTGACTGGTGAGAAGTGAGAAGCGGGCTTGAAAACACAGCAACATGGGCCCCTCCAAGTTCTCTTCCGAACGCCGTGGCCGCGGTTCCTCGGAGGCAGTCTTGCGGTTCCTCGGAGGCAGTGTCCTGATGGCGGTCTTGGCTCAGGTGGGGGCATGGGTCTGGGCGAGGCGTGGAACGGTCCACAGTGCTTCAAGTGCTTCGAGTCCTGGCTCCTAGTAGTAGCGAACATTGCTCCTAGTAGTAAGGCCAGGAGGCCCTAGTAGCGTCCTTGCTCCTAGTAGCGATGACAGGATCCCCTAGTAGCGGGGAGGGGAACACTCTTTCACCAGCATCATGATCCTGAAACTTAGGCCTCCTTCCTTGGGCGAAGGGCGGGATCTGAAGTCCCGCCCTTCTCAGCCTAGTGACGTCATTGGTGTGGGTGGGTGAGCAGGTGTACAGACGACAGCAAGTTCAGGGGATCTGGATGGGCTGCACACTTGCTTGGCTCCCCAGCGTTTCAAGTGGGTCATTTGAGATCCGTTCATTGTACAGTTGGTTCGCGTCTGACTTCGGAGCGATGACTCTTCATTTCAAGAGCCTTTTGAAGATTCACAGAGCACGAGATGGCTCTAGATCTGTGAAGGCCTTCCAAGGACGCACATTTGGCCACCATGGCCCACACCTGTTCAATTGCGAGGTTCCAACAGTCGCATGGTTGAGGCTTCGGGACACTTGACCGAGAGAGTTGTTCAAAACAGCTTTAGCTAAGCTTTAAACATTAGGCTTTAGACGTTTTCATTCACATGATTAACAGCTTCTCCTGGTGACTGGAATTAGCCAGTCTCAGATCTGTCCAAAGCCGTGATTTTCAGCCCCTGTGCGGAACATGCCTATCCGCATAGTTCTTTTGGGGTCCGATGCTCCAATTCGACCATTTCCCTGTCAGAGCATCACTGCAAGCTATCCACTGCAGGTTGATGGGAGGCCTCTCAGTTAGCTACTACCATGAGAGGTTCTGCGGTTGACTGGGAACGTCATGCCAGATGGGCCCTTCAAAGCTCCAGGTAGGAGTTGTTTGTTTTAGACGCTAGTGAGAACCGACACTGCACGACATGTCATGGGTTTGGATGAAATCCTGCGCCATTCCCGCAGATATCAACCAGAGTTTTTGCTGCTTGGCAGTAGAGGCAGGATGTGGTTGACCCTGCGGGTCAAACACCCGAGAGATCCCCAAGAGATGCCCTTCATACGCGTTCTGCTTTCCTCTGGCATTTTCAGAGTCTTCGCTGATTGGTTCCTTTGAGAGTCTTGCTTGAGAGTCGCCTCACATTCTCTGTCACCATCCGTTCCAGTGGATTGAATTCGCTTCTCAATGGTGCTTGAACCATGATTTTCAGCATAATGGGCGCTTCACCTCTTCTTTGCACCACTTGAGCATGCCCAAAACTAGTACCTTTGCAAAGCTCGAAGCTTTAACTTCCAGTCAATTTTCAGTTGTACCACCACAGTGCTTTCTGTTTTGCACCGCACTTCCTTTGTTTTGAGCTGCTCAAGTCAAGAATTCCACCAGTTTTCTGCATCCAAAGACGCTCAATCTCTTTGTCGTTGCTTGAGATGTGCTTCAAGCAGTTCGCCATGCTTATATGTGCATATATATAGATATATGCCGACCAAAGTGTTACCAAGAAAGGAAAAACATGTTTTTTTAACTGCATGACAGTGCCTCTGAGGCAACGGTGGCCACACGCAGGGTTGGGTAGTTCTTGTCATGTTTGTTGCCGTTTGTGAGCGCTTCAAACGTCCAGTGACAAGGGATAGTCAGCTCTGAGCTTTCAAATGTGGCCAAGATCCTGTGTGGAGAGGATGAGAAAATGCTGGCTGCAGGGTGCTTGGATCATGGCAGGAACGTGTGCAACATGTTGAGCCATTGATGTTTGTACCCTCTTAAATAGCACCATAGGTAGAGTGGTCGTTATTCAGTCGGACTGAGAACGGGGGACTCCAGATGCCAGACCGCCACCTTCGGATACTCTAGGAGTCCAGCAACGTTGCGTCCCCTTTTTGAGAACCGTTGCGTTGCCGCTTTGCCGCAAAGCGCCGCCAAATGGCACGGCTGGTCAGAAGGCCCTATAGTGCAGGGCCGTCAACCCTTAGACAGCGTTCGGTGACACCTTCCAGAATCCAGAACATCAAAGAGCTAAGCATAGGAAACAAAAACTGCGCAAACCGGTTCACACCTCCAAAATCCTCCAAACGAACGCCATGCAACGAACGCCATGCACTCGACCGGCGACCTCCGTTCGCTCTTTGTCTGTGGGGCTGGACGGAGCCCTTGGCAGCACCAGCTTGAGGAGGGCGGGACTGAGCGGCTGGCCCTCCGGTTCTGTGGGGCGTGCTAATGAACCAGTAGGTATATCCTCTCTAAGCGTTGGTATCCTTAGTTGAGGACTTATCCCCCTTGCAAGGTCTGAAGTTGTGCATGACATTCCATCGGGATCGTGAAGCTTCCTTTGCGAGGAATGCTTTATGAAGCACAAACTCAAGTTTCATGATGTTTCATGCACAATCACAGAGGACCCATATCCAGATGCGTGCCTCCTTTTCTTCTTCTTGTCACGTGGTGGCAGGTAGAAATCAACAAGGGAACCATCTAGGGGTGGTTCTGGGTTCAGCGGTTCACCTGTGGATTCCCCTTTCTACACGTCTTCACTCATGATGTACATCAAACCTTGGCTATAAATAAGACAAAGCCAATCATGACAGGAGTGCATGCTTACCTTTGTGTGTTTCCAAAGCCAATCCGGTCGGTTCATATCGTGCCTCCGCTGGACAAGTGAGAGCAAATGCTTCCCTGGATGTTCCACAGGCGTTTTCGTCGGAACTCCTTTTGCGCGGGTGTGCCAGGCCGTGCGCAGTATCTTGAAGGCGCTACAGGAAGATTGGGCTTCTGGAGAACAAAGAAGAAACTTGCTGGTACAGCATGCGACAGGACCAAAGCGGGTCTCCCCAAGGGGGTTGGCCGTCTACTGCATGGAAGTCCGCTGGTACTTATAGCCTGTAGTAAAGGATTCTCAGCCAGTTCGAACCTACTGGACCCCTCGGAGGCTTTGTGCCTTATTTTTCTACTTCACATGCACGTTCATAAGAACCAATTCTTTACGCCCATGCCGTGGGCGGCAAAAAGTAGAGTGAAGGGACCTCGCGCTGGTGCCAATGTCCTGCTCAATACAACACAACAAAAAAATCAAACGTCCGCATTTTTGAGACAGCCCTATGAGTATTTATGGGTCACTAGAATTGGCAGGCCACATCAAGTCCACCCTTGACAATCTTGATGGCAGCCGTTTTCTCAGCTCCCTGAGATTCTCTTCTTGGAAGGCAACGATTCCTGCCCAGCTGGCAGCTAGCTCTAGATGAACATCCAGCTATATACAATTAACATATTTACAAACAATCATTTATTATTACAATTTACGCATGGAACATCGGAGTCCTGCTTCGAGACTGGCCCAGCAGGAAGTGGGAAATCGTTGACCATGGCCTTGCTGGTGGAGTGCCTGCAGGATGTTCATGATTCTCAGGCGCGAAGGGATCCAAAACACAGAACAGGTGCATGACAGGACCGACCCGGAACTGGACCCTGGCCGATTGACATGACCCTGGCGGTCCCTAGCTAAAGGTAAAAGACCACGTAGCTGATGACTAAGGTCAGTTGACTTCCCAGTGTTTGGCTCACAGGGTATGTGGGGCTCACAGGATTGTCTTTACACCCGTTAGATTGGGTTTTGGAGACCCTGGCTCTGGTCTAGGTGCCTGAACAACTCCATTTCCTGTGTTTCAAGAGCAGTCCACCAGTTGTTGAAGCTGAAAACGTCCCTTTCTATATCCCTTTGAATCCGATCAAGACTTTTCAGGTCTTTTGAGATGGTAGGATTTCTGCATTCCTGGTGTCATGGTTACATAGAGTTGGAAAACATCACAACAGTCCCAAATGGACAAATGTTTATATGTACACATGACATGACTTTACATGACATTGCATACCACAGTGGAACATCCCCCCATTTGGAGAAGCCTTGACCTTTTGAGCTGCAAACGCTACAAAAGCAGCGAGAGATGTTCTAGCTTCAAAAACGCGGCCCCCAAATTCCAAAACAAACGCTTTGAGGGTCGCGGCTTTGCGCTGGTCTTCGTGCTGAGTGATCGTCTCCAGCTAGATCGACAGCACCTGGGTCGAGGTCGATGGGAGGACCGCTAGTTCCATGATGATCCACGCACATCTGGTATACCAAGATCTTACGTATTTGTGTTACAATTACATTCACAGCGCTTCGCGCACGAAGCCGCCCGCACGGAGTGTGTGCGTCTGTTTGGGAGTGTGTGCGTCTGTTTGTCTCGGTCTGTCTGCCTGTCTTGTTCGGGCAGGACACACGGAAGAACACACGCACGATGTCAATAGTCTGTCTCGGTCGGTCTGGGTGTCTGTCTGTCTGTCTGTCTGTCTGTCTGTCTGTCTGTCTGCCTGCCTGCCTGCCTGGCTGGCTGGCTGGCTGGCTGGCTGGCTGGCTGGCTGGTCTGTCTCTGTGTGTCTGTCGGTCTCTCTGTGTCTGTCTGTCTCTCTGTGTCTGTCTGGGTCTGTCTGGGTGTAGATCTGTCTGGGTCTGTCTGGGTCTGTCTGTCTGTCTCTGTCTCTGTCTCTGTGTCAATAACCACATGCGACTGTTCACCCCAAAAAACATCAAAAACCACATGCTCAATACCATTCACCTCGTCCAGTTGGACTGGGCGCACGACCGAACACATCCACGATATCAATCGTACAGTATCCCACGCCACGAGTATCCCACGCCACGATATCAATCGTACAGTATCCAACGGTTTGCCTCGACGTTTGCGATTTCTGCGATGTCCGTAATGCACTCTCCCCCGGCCGACATAACCGACATCGCATATACATAGTGCAGTGCTCTTGGCTTTCCGAGAAGTATGTGATGTCAGTTATGCGATTTGGCCCGACCGGCATAACCGGCATCATCATTGTGTGGTCCAATTTTGACAATTTTCAAAAAGCATTGAAAAGCATATCATTTCTAGGAGAAAAATGCCCCCCCCCCTCCCAAGCTAAAGCTTAGGACTTATCTAGCCGGATTCCATGCGATGTGGATGTACACGAGCTGACACAACGCCTTCGGCACCTCCGGTGCGGGCGGATTTGTGCTTATGTGCTTTGTGCTGCCTTTTGTCTGAACAGGTGTTCTTTGTTCAGGAGCCGCATCCTTGCTTGCACCTTGTTCTCTTTTTACTTCTGCTGCATGCCCGTGGTGCGCCCCGCCCCGTATACTCTGGGTGGCCGGCGGAGGCCATCACCGTCGGGCGTCAACAGAGCACCGCCTCTGGCGGCGCCTGGGAAGGCCAAGCCGGAGTACCAGCGGCTTGGTTGCTTGCCGCTTTTGGAGACAGCGCATGCCAGTACTACTGAGTGCAGTTCTTCCCAAGCAAGTGCAGACTCCCACATTTCAGGATTAGAACGTGAAGATGCTGAGAGGGAGAGGTTGTCTTTAGCATTGCTGGAAGCATCTCTATGTGTACGCGACCACAGCCAGTTCTGTTAGAGCTTCAGGATAGACCTCTCACCAAGTTGTCTTTCCTCTTCAAAGGTCCACTCTGCGCAGACATGTGAGTGGCTGGCAGAAGTGGCTACGGTTTTGTTGAGATTCCGTCATCCTTGTTGGGCAGCCGGACGGCCAACAACTCCTGGATTTCTTAGAGGCCTTGGCCAAAGGGGCACGCCAAGACCGGGGTCGAAACCGAGTGGCGGGGGCCAAAGCAGTGGTGCACGCCCTCAAATTCATTGCCCACAAGCTTTATTAAAAGACCTGGGTGAGCAGCTGGCCGGGCCGATTGTGTCAAGTTGGGTGCGCGCGGTAAAGTGGCATGGGAAACCAACGCGGGAGGCGTTGCCCTTGCCCCTGTTTGTGGTGTGCCAGTTAGAGCAAGCAGCATCGTCGGGGCCGCTCGAGGATCGGTTTTTGGTTGCCGTGCAAACCTTGGACGCCATGATCCGTGGCTGGGTCTGGCGGAGCAAGACCGGCCCCACAGGTGTTGCGTGGGGATGTTGGGACTGTGGTGCAACGGGCTTGAACTGGGGTCGTGGGTTCGGATCTGCGCGAAGCCTTCCCGAAACGAGATTTTCTTTTATCTGACGGTGCGCGACCGCTACAATATTCTTGTGACTGTGCGTTGGCCCAGCTCCGCAGATGTTTGTGCGAGTACACCTCTTTGGGTAGAGGAGATGTTTTCAAGTATTCTTTGCATTCCTTGCCTTTCCCGGGGCGTGCAGAGAATCCCGCAGCGCAAGGTCATCACAGGCTTCGGTCCAGCTCTGGTTGCGTTGAGAAGTGCCGCAGAGATGATGCACTACCAGCCTTACGTTGCCAGCGGGAAATCTTGCGTCAGGTGACCGAGGGGTGGACCCCGTTTACGGCCCTCCAACGGACACAGAGGGCGAGTCTGTGAGGAGGCTGCTACACGATGGAGGACAACTCAAGCTTAGCTAGCGAGGATGGTTGGTATCACCGCGCCTTTGAGGTTGACCTGGATGCAATTGGGTGTTTGCATTGGGATGCCCGAGGCCGGGTGCGAGCTTGCCGACCTTCCGCTGCGCTGAAATCACAATATGAAGCAGGCGCGGGCGTGATTGAAAGTCCCACAGGCGTGGGCATGGTCCGAAGTCCTAGAGGCGTGGGCGTGGTGAAAAGTCCCACAGGCGTGGGCATGGTCGCATGGTTTGAAGTCCCACAGGCATGTTTGAAAGTCTCACAGGCGTGGGCATGGTTGGAAGTCTGGCAGGTGTGGGCATGGTTGCAAGTCCCACAGGTGTGGGCGTGGCTGCAAGTCCCACGTTCAACAACCCCCCCCGATTTGTGCATCGGTGTGGTTCCCACTGGCGTGGGCCTGGTTGGAAGTCCCCAAGGACTGACTTGTTGTTTCTTGTGTCCCCTGGTTTGAGGGTTTTCAGGGAGTGGCGCAGTTGCCAGTGGGCCCCAGCATGGCGGTCATGGTTTTCTTGGGTCGATTTTCTTTGCTTGTCTTGCGATGGCCATGGAATGGAAAGACGAGTTGATTGCCGCAGTGAAAGAAGATGTCGCGAAAGCTGTGCTAGATATGGGTTATGAATCAAAAGACTTGTTCTAAGTCTTTGCCTCTTTCGTGGATCAAGCGTCGTTTGAACAGTGGCTGGCGAAGCTTCGAAACAAACTGGGTGACAGTGTGGGAGCCTTAGATGACGCGGAGTGGCTCACACATCCCAAAGCAGCTGCGGTGTGCCTTTTCTGACGCAAACACAGCGCGCCAGCAGTGGCGACGCCGCCCCGACTCCGCCTGGCCACGCTGCTAGTGCGGCGCTGATGCCCCACGCGAGTAGCAAGATCACCGCCAGCGACCGCAAGCGTTGGCGGCGCCAGCTGGAGAAAGATTATACTTCTGCAGTGATACAGCCTCATACTTTGCCGGCCATGGCCTACCTCCAGTGACTTCCAGCGTGTCAGGTGCGAACGCGCAATGTCGGATTGAGGAGCGCATTGAGCTGCCAACTCTCAGCACCGTTGCGCAGTTCGTGTCTAGACATCCGGAGGAACAGTGGAATTTAACAAGCCCATAAGAGGGTCAGGGCTGAGTACTTTCTGCGTCAAAGACTGGAGCAGAAACAGCAGGTGGGTCTTTTACAAAGTTTGCCATTTCGAAGCCTTAGGAGTCTATCGCACCATCCCAATGGATGGTTGTTAGGGGACCATGGGTTGGTGCCAGGTCGGAGGTGCTCCCAGCCTGGCACCACCCCTTGGAGTTGTCGCCAAAAGCCGTGAGCGCTGTTTTAGGGAAGAGAGGGTTTGGGCTCGGAGTGATACCTAGCTGGCTTCCTTTACCCTTAAAGAGAGAGGCGTGCGGGTGGAAACGTCATGTTCCTTGAAAAGAGAGCGCTAGATCTCAGTTTAGTGCACCCTTGAAGACCAGACATGGATCCGTGGGGACTTTCAAAGGGGATCAAAGGGGTCATTTGTAGGTGATGCAGAGGTTTCCTCTCTCACTCTCTCACACACACACGGGAACATGTAAAAGGACAGAAGACAAAAAGAAAGAAAGGAAGGAAAAAAACAAAGAGCAGTCCGGAGTCCAAAGCGTCACAAAAGAAATCAAACCACCCAGGAAATCTCAGGACATCCCAGCAAACAGATTTGTCCGGGTGCTTGCGCACTTCCCCCCCTGGAGCTTCCCCTTTCACAGTTCCACACGATTTCTTCTTTTCGGCCCAGGCTGGGCGACACCGTGGACAGCTTCCGGTCCCGGGTCGCGCGCGGGGCGCCGGGGCCGCGCCGAAGAGGGCCGCTGCGCCGGGCCGAGGAGAGCCGTCAGTGTTTGGCGAAAGCGCTGAGCTCGGCCGTCCACGCTGAGCTCGAGCGGTGTGTGACGGTGGTGACCACGAAACAGAAGTTGGATCGCTTTTTACTGGACACTTGGATCAGAAATTCACAGGTTAGGTGCAACTATATATTGCTGGCATGCACCTGAGCCTTCATTCAATCTCTTTGAATCGAATCTTGGAATCTCTGCCGAGGAAAGTGACTCCAAACATCGGCGTGGTTGGCTGGCTCCAATTTTCAAGCGTGGTCGTGTGGCGGTGATTTGCGAGGAATGCCATCGAGCGCATTTCCACGGCTGTGCCACCGGTGCAGCAGTGGCTCGCTTGTTTGGAGATCAAGGCCGCGCACAGCCAGCTGATCTTGTGCCCGATCTGAATTTTCTGAATTTCAAGGCTTTGTTGTCCGGGTGATGTTCTTTTGGATGTGAGATGACATTTGAGTTGGAATAAGTTCTTGAGGTCCTCAGTGCCAGAGGTCGTTATGTGTTCCATTGTCGATGTCGATGTGCTATGTTTCTTTCGTCTCAGACTTAGGTATATATTGGCTTTACAGGAACTCCAAGTCAGAGTGCCCTTGAGCTCTTTGGACGGTCTGAGTCGTCTCAGACCGAGACCGGTGAGACGGTCGTTGGATCCGTGCACTGCTACCACTTGGGAGAGGCTGAAGCTGAAGGACCGGGGTCATGTCTATTGAGTCTATTGAGGCCATATTGCGTGTGACATGAGCAACGGCCAAAATCTATGGATTTGTGGAATCTATGGCTTGGGTCATGGGTCTGACCTTCTACTGTAGCTGAAAGCCACTGCGACCAACACAAGACTGAGGTGTTCTCCATTCCTTGCACGGGACATCTGGGAGGGACAGTTTTCTAGCAAGGCTTTGTTTCCTCCATGGGCAAGGCCATTTGTGACAGACACCTGCAGGAGTCGTCTTGGACGTTTTGGCCAACTACGAAAGCGTGAACATCGAGGATGTGTCAGGTAAATGTGCTTTCATCCTTGCTGACATGCAGAGGCTGGGATATGTCGGATATGTCGAACTCACCGGTTGATTCCGGTTGATCCTAAGACCACTGGCGCCAGTGGTTCTCGATGTTCTTTTTCCGTGGGTCCAAAGCCACGCCTTCCTCCGGCTCGAGCTCGCGCAGTCTACCTTTTTGAGGCTGGCGCACGTCTACCCCCCGGACTTCGCTGCAGTGATGAAGGGAATGGTGGTCTGCAGGAGTGACCTTCATGTTTTCTGATCGTGGATTCCCGGTGGATTTTTGGTGGATCCTCCCATGTCTGCGACCTTCCGAGAATGGCCTAACGGATCCTAACGGGGCACTTCGGATTGGACTACGGATCCTAACGGTCGCGGCGAAAAAGAGCACCGAGAAGACGAGCCACGCCGCCAGGTCGCGTTCGGAGGTCCTTGGCTTCGTCCGGACCCTGCGGACTGCAACGGCGTGCGGAGCTCCTTGGGTTCTCCCCGGCAGTTGTGGGAGGCGGGCCCAGGCCGTTTCGTCCGCTCTCTTGAGCGAAGCAAAGCACGGCTTTTGGTGGATGCCAGTTGTGTCTCAAGTTGGGTGAGCATCCACATTCAAGGGTGCAGAAGAGACCTAATTACAAGAGTTCTAAAAAGATCCCACTCTGCAGCTGCTTACTGAGACTTGTGACTGCTTTGCAGATGGACAGTAGTTGAGCATGAGGCACTTCCAATTGTGCATGAGTCGGGAATCATGAGAGTATATAGCAAAGAATAAAAATCAGAACTTGCTGGTGCTGTCCAATGGCAGCCTGAGGTCATCTTTTGTTAAACATGTTTCTTGGAGGTCGCAGGGCTTCCACTTCAATAGAGGCATCTGCGGCTTCTTCAGCTTCTCAGCTCAATAAAGGACCGGTCGACTGGAGACTCTTTAAAGAAGCCTCCCCTGCCAGTTGCATGGCTTGTAGCTTCACTCCCACAAAGTGCAAGGAGGCTGTGGGTTTTGGAGCTTGATGTTCTTCACGTTAGCACACATCCAGTTGAATCTCTTTGGGCGTGATTTGTCATGGTAGTTCTGTCGTCGATGCCTGTTTTCCTGTCAATTTTCTGCCAGCTCAAGCTTGCTGGAACTAGCTGCTGAAATCCCGTATTCCGTCAAACCTCTAATCCAAATGCACAACTTACGACAGGGCTAATCAACTTACGCCGCCAGGTGGTGCCGTGGAGGATCTTGTTGAAGAACAGCTAAATGGCTGTTCTCTCCTGGAAGCCTGCCGAACAGCCAGGACCAAGGGATACTGTATAAATATAGTTACATATATATCTATACACATGAGCCTGGAAGTCCAAGACCATGTTTAGAATGGTTTTGTAGTGAAAAGCTCTTAGTAAAACAATGGTTGTTTGGTAAAGGCTATTAAGTAAAAGGTGGTTTGACTTCTAGGGTATTTACCCTTGCTGGTACCAGCGATCTGATTTGTTCCAGGTGTCGGACAGTCACGCTGAGATCAGCATCTCCAAGAAAATGAGAGTTTTGGCTCCCTTTTTTCCAGGTCCAACAGCTTTGGGGCCCTTTGCAAAGCCGCTGTAGGATCTTGGTGGTTTGTAACAAGCTGGAGACCGGCTTCGATGAACCGCGCCTGGCCGTTTTGTATCTCAACCGGTCTCTCGGCTGAGGGGATCCATGGATCTGGTCGAAGCGTGGGCTTGCGCCTAAGAGAAGCCAAGGTGCCTCGAAAGCAATGTGAAGGTGGTCCAAGTCCTTTCGAGGAGCCTCAAAACCAGATGCGAAGTTTGCTTGTGTGCACTGCTTGATGCGCTCAAAGTTCATAGGGAAGGACTCATTTGATTCTGATGTATTCATAGTTCACATGCACCCGAAAAGAACGGCTGTTCCACAGGATCAACCGCCCCTTCAGCGGCAAACCTTTCGCCTTCATACGAGACTTTCATAGATTCTTGGCTGAAAAGAACACAACAATCGAAACCAACAACAATCAAACCAAGAAAGAGAAGACCCAAGAAACAAACATTTGTAGCGGTACTGATTGAATGACGGTCCATTTTAGTGAAGACTATGTCGAACGAGGCAAACGACATCAAACTACATTCTTTTGGGGGTCCTTCTACGTCTTCCTCATCTCAGGCATGACATCTAGAACAACCCCAATTTGGAACACTCTAGGTAGAAACCCTTCCTATGTAATCATCCTATAGAACTTATATGAACTTATTATTTTAACCCGCTTCGGGGAAGAAGGAGCTGCCATGACTGGCCGGGGGACAGGATCCGATGATAGCAGACCACAGGCTCGCCCGCGCAACCGGTTATAGGCAAATGCTTGTTCAACCGGTTCACCTGCGAATGGACGTGTTTGGACGTAGGTCCATCCCACGAGGTCCGTTCCACAGGTCCCGAGTCGATGGTCACGCTGAGGCCAAGGCAGCCTGGCCAAGGCCTCTTTCGAGGCCTTTCGCCGGCGAGTGGTGAACAACTCCAAGCCTAAGGAGGTGGCATCCCCAGAAACGTCTCGTTTGGGCCAAGCTGAATTCCCGAAGTGGCCGGTTGGGTTCAACTTGCGCCAACCGAACGAAGAGCAGAACGAACGTGTGTGGGATAGAAGACGATCTTAGCATCATTGGACTGAGCACTATGTTGCTTTTGGTCTTTAAAGGAGTTCCGTTTCACTTGTTTGGTGTTGCACTGGAGAAACATGCTGTTGATAGTTGATTGAGTCTGGACATGCTTTGGCCTGCACTGGTTCTAGATTCTACCATTTCTTGAATGACGGAACCTTCAAGAAAGCTCTTTGAGGTGTTTGCTTTGGTTTGCTTTGGTTTGCATCAGCTCTTCTTGTTGGCTGTTGAGGTCCGCGCTTGCAGTGAACATCGACTCGGTGGCCGGTGGATCCCAGCGTGGTTGGGGAGCCTCCCAAGCCTGCCTCACTGTTCGGAACAAGTGCTTCAGAGGGTCTCACGATTTGCCTTCTGCCTGACTGGAGTGAAAGAGTAAACATCTGACTGGATTCAGGGGGCCCGAAATCATGCCATATGCCTATGAAGCCACTAGAGCTAGTCATCGTGAAGTGCTTGTTCTCGACCAAGGCCTCCTGAGTGCTCGACGATTAAAGCGACAGGCGAGAACGCAATTGCAGTCCACAGGCAAATACATGCTTGTTCATCAGGCCCTGCCGGCCCTGCTCTCTGGAAAGATGGTCTTCATAGATGAGAAGGTGTACTACCAGCTGGCTTGGGGGACTTTTCTGGAGAATCTTCTTATTTGGTTTGTCTCGGGTGTGCAAGCACAGGTGGCTTCCAGCCTTCTGCATCAAGTGGTTCCAAGTAGCCGCTACGGAGGAAAGCCGAAATCAAGGTGCGGAAAGTCTGGTCCCTTTGTAAGTCTCTGAGATAGAATCATCAGGATTTTAACATGTAAGGTTTGCACCGTTGCATATAGTCCAAAACAGCGCAACTGCCTGTTTTCAAGCACCGAACTAGGAGCAAATACGCTACTAGGGGCTCCTGGCCTTACTACTAGGAACAAGAAGCTACAAGGAGCAAAGGGCATCGCTACTAGGAGCGATCGGACGCTACTAGAAGGACATTTCTTGATGGTCTCGTGCACTCGTAGACAGCTGGGGCAGGCGGAAGTGGATCAGCTGGGCAGGTTCCTCTCGGCTCACTGCGAAGCACTCAGATTCCGCGATTGGTCGGGCGCCCTTGCAGTTGGTGCTTTAAAGTTTGATATATTTTGCAAGATTCGGCAGTCCAGACTGTCATGGTAGAATTTGGTGGAAGGCCCCAAACCTGGGATGTAGCAATTCCTGGCTCTTGAGAGGCTTTAAGGGTTCAATACTCCTGATGGATTTGGGCTCCAGCTGCCTTAGCTGATTGGCCAGACCTTTCAATTCATGCCGTCGCCCTGCCCGGAGGATGGGACCACAAACGAACTGAAGGGTTGCTGGAGGGAGCTTCATCGCAGCTTCATTACAATCCAAGACTCATCCCAAAGCAGGTCTTTGTGGAACTTTCGGACAGGGAAACACAACCAAGAGAGGTCTTCGAACCCAATCTATGGCGGGGCGTGTCGATTTGTCGAGATTTGTAGGAGAAGGGCGATCTGCAATGGTCGCAACCCTTCTTCTCCTTGGACGAGATCCTGCTGAAGCGTGGCTTCTCAGGAAGGGCTCCGCTTCGCATTCGACGCAGAGAGCGGGACGCTGTGTCGGTTTGTGACGCTGTGGCGAGTCGACTCCGGGAAGCTTGCTTTTGGACTTAGTATCTTGAAGCATCTTGTGAGTTCAACATTGCATCCCTTTATGCTTCGAGCACGTTGAACCTTCAAAGCCACTGAGATGCAGAAGAACGAGGCAATCCAGCCAAATTGAGGAATGTCTCGTTTCATGTGCTGCTTGCAGCTGTCTCGGTCGAAGCACCCCACGGTCGGCTGTCTTTGGTCGATAGCACAGCCACGGTCGGCTGTGTGGCCCTCGCCCTGGCGGCCGAGGTTTGCCAAGCATGAAGAGCTTCTGGGCAAAGTGGCTGCAGATTTGGTGTCTCAGACGCTTGGAGGGAGGTGAAAAGCGTTATATAACCGTTGACCTTAGCAGCGGCTCTTTTTCAGGCCGGTGGATTTTGACCGTTGCCGTCGCTGGATCTAGACCACCTGGCTGAGGACTGCACGACACCAGAAGGTCGCTGCGCAGTTGGAGGGCATGGTTTTCGCGGAGTCCTTCTCCAAGCAGACGCTCTCCAACCAGGCGAAGCATAGCGAAGCAGATACGAGTGAAAAGGGTGTCTTCCTTCAGAAGCCCCCAAAGACCTTGTGATTTTTGCTTTGAGAATAGAGAAGCAAGGTGATACAGTGATACATACTCTTTAAAGACTTTCAAGTTTCAAGCAAGTTCTAAAGAACCTGATGACAGGTGCTGCTATTGCATCTGAGGGAAAGGTATCTCCTTTGCACTGACTCACACCGAGTGTTTCCACCTGGTGGCCAGGCGCCTTTGGCAGCACTGGAGGCTGATGTAGAACTCCCGCGGAGCCAGAGGCCGAGTATCTGAGTGCACTGGGTAACACCCGCACAGAAGGTTCTGCGCGAAGGATTCCCACGTTTCCTTGCCCAGGCGTTCTGCGCTCGCTGACTGCACCCACCGGGTCACCGCTGACCCTCGTCACTCGCACAGCACCGAGGCAGCTCCTCGGCCCGGCGAAGTTCCTTCTCCCGGAACTTCGTGGACGAGCGACCCAGCGAAGAAAGCATATGGGGCGAAACGGTGTTTACTGTGGGCGAGCAATCCTCTACTTGGGACGCTGTCACAAACGGGATTTGAACCAACCCCCAGTCACCCTTGAGTGAAAGTATCACAAAGGTGGTACATCTCATTAATTCGCGATCAGTGAACAGTGAAAGGTGTAGTCGGTGCTGTGCCAGCGACTCTGTCTGCTGGAAAGAAAAGGCCATGCCCAGCAAAGACGAGAAACGCAAGGTCGGCTATTCGTTAAGGACAGAACCAGAAGTGGAAGACACATAACAAAGACAACCTAAAAGAGCAACATAAGAAAGAACACAAAGAAGGTAGAACGGTAGAACTCAACCAAAGCAGTAGGAGGCCATCCGTCCTAAAACGGAACCAAAAAGAGATACAGAAGAACGACCGTTCCAAGGCCGAGGGATCTGCCCGACCGGACCGGTGGACGGCTGAACAGTGTCTACAAGCCCGCCTGGGAGCTCGGAGGTCTGGAGCTCGAATAGGACAACCAGAGGAACAAAGACAATGTACCAAAAGGTCGTAGGTGTTGCTTTTCCTATTTCCTTTCTAAACATGGTGAAGCATCGTCCCCCCAAGGTGGCATAGCCAAGATCTGAACATAGATCAAGACAGGACACCTGGTCGAATGGCCTCCAACCCAATAGCAAAAAATATTGGACCTTTCTTCGTTTTTGCCATATCAGTGGATGAAATCTCAAGTCGTGTAGTTGGTTCCACTCTCGGATCTCTTGGTTCAACTCCCAAAGTCTCTTGGGCAAACCTCCGCATGACCCCCCCCAAACTTGGATCCAAGCATCTTGAGGGGATCTGCCGAACAAAAAGAACACCCTCCACCAGTCGACCCTTGGTGCAGCACCGTGTTCTATTCCACTCTACGACCCGTCGCCCAGACCAAAAAGTGGTGGAAGTCTGAAGACCCGGAGCAGACTCGGGGCGAAGGCGTTTCGGACGTCTGGGCGACGTTTTCGGTGTTTGGCCATAGACATGGGCCGAGGCTGCTGACTCGAGTGATCAGGTTTGGTTGTTGTGCTTAGCCAACCAGTTTCGAGAGTTTTCAGGTTTTCGAGGTACCCCAAGTTTCTGCAGCTCAGATGTTCTTGGAGTTGGGAACTGTATCACGAGTTTGGTGATTGCATGATTGCATGGCCCTTCACTCGGAGTCTTGGGATAAGCACCGAGCAAAAAAGATTTGGAGCACGCTGGCAGGTGGAGCGAGTGCAAAGGCACGCATCTCTAGCTTCCTGTCGAGTTCCTTGGTCAAGTCTATTTTACTTGTTCCTCCGATTCTCGCGCTATCGTGCTTGTTCTTTCTTCCAGATGCTCAGGTTTTTTGTCAGATGCGATCATGGGCTCAGCTCCTTGGCTATCCCCCCGTGCGTTGGCGAAGGAACAACAAAAGCAGATCAAGTTCGAGGAACATGTCCTCCGCCACAGATGTAGGATCTTGATTCATCACCCTCCGTTTGGATTGAAACACCTCATATGGGTTTTCTTGATGGTTTATTCATCAAGATCTACCTCTCCGATCCACGGAGCAGGTCATTGGCCTCAACATCGTGGTGTCTTGGTGGAGCAGATTTGGAGCGAAACGCGGTCTGTGGTCTCGGATGCTTCTGGAACCAAGTACTAAGAAGTGAGGGATGGTTGCCGAAATGAGTGATTGGTTGCGGTGAGTGAGGGAGGTGAAGAGCCTCGAAGAATTCGTTGGCCCTCTTTTTGGAGCGATGCTCTTGCTCCCCGTGGGTGTTTTCACCATGGCTGGGGCATGTGAGTCGGCAGGTGATGGTTTGTCAAGTCCAGTGGCAAGGATATGAAGCGGCCTTCGCACTTGGCCTTCGCAGCGATGATGGACAGTGGGAAGATGCGGAAGAGGTCTTTGAAACTGGGACGCAGATTTGGAGGCTTTATGAGGCTTTTATGGTCTCTTTCCGGGAGTTATATATGTGAATTGTGTGTAGTTCCATAGATGTGTACAACCTGTCCTTTGGGCCAACAAGGGATATGAGATGATATGAGTCTTCAGTCGACCGACAGTCATGCTTCAATCCGCTGAGGAGTTGATCGAAATCGTGTTCATCTCGACCCTTGGCTCAGCAAGCCCTTTTGCCTGGCTTTGCCCACGGCAAACCTCGGGCCACCGGTGTTTCCTGACCACTTGAGTTCCTGAAGCCAGGAAATGGTTGCATTAGAGTCCCGGCTCTCCATGTGGTGAAACAAGGATCCCTTTTCATCCCTTTTCCTGTTTCATGCGGAGCCTTTGATCTGTTTGGTTCCATGTCATCGAGTCAGATTTGCACTTCGAGTCGCATCAAGTGCAGTTCAGCTGCTTTGATGCTCCGACAAGTCGAGTCTTTTATCGTGTACATTCACTGTCACTACATGAGTCATCATTAATATATATATATATATACATTAATATTCATTAATCAATTTGAAGCTGAGGATGTCGTCTGGGGAGTGGATGTCAACAGTACATGCTCATCCTACTCATCCACTCACCTACCAGTTTATTTGGAAGACGTCTAGGACCATCATTTCCTCCTTCTCCGATCACAAGATCTCATGTCGCGAGGATCTATCTGATCGATGTGATCCTCCGAGCGATGTTCCTTCCATGGAGTCGCTTCCATAAGAGGCTGGAACTGGTGGACACCTTTGCACCTCAGCCTCAGCAGAATGTGTTTGTTATACGATTAGGTTTCCAGCATTTTCTATCTTTTTCATGCCTTTTTCCGACGCCCTTCAGAACAAGCTTCCTTGCATGAAAACATTCCATTCCATGCTGGGCGCAGACCCGCCGTGGGGCGCTGGCCGCCGTGGGGGAAGACTGACCCGCTGGCCGCCACGTTTTTTTCTTTTCCTCCGCTCTCCTAAGGTGGTTCTAGCCGGCGCCTCAGGGCCGACGTTTTTCTTACACTGCCCGATGTTTGTGAACGAGCAGGTTTATATTTTTTGGGTGAGTGCGGAATTTGACCTCAGAATCGCATTGTGCAAGTACCATCTCCGTTTCAGGTGGCACTACAAGGCAAAAAAGAACAAAGCAGACTCAGACTAAACTAACCCTCTTGTTTGTTGTTCCTTTTTCTCCAAACAACAACGAAGGTTCCGCGCTTATTTTGAGACCCACCGCAGGTCTGCGCGCTGGAAGCCTTCATTCTGCGACCCGCAGGCCTGGCCGATTGGGATGCCTTGGTGGTGCTGCGACTGGTGCGCGCCTTCCGAATCCTACGAGTGGTCAGGACGGGTGAACTGGGCAGTGAACGGGTCAAGGGAAGACGGGTCACGGCATGACACAGCAGAGCAGATAGACACCGAGTGAAGAAGGAAAAGACGGGTGTTTGAATGGTGTCAGATGTGCTTCTGAGAAAGGCAAGACAAAGTCTCAAGAGCTACGGCATAAGGCATAAGGAT